CACAGATGGAAATGAGGACAAGATGAAAACCATGTTGTCACAAATGAAAGAAAATTGACAGCATTAAGGATGAAAGGAGGAGGACACTGCTTATTCTAACCTTGTTAATTGTCAGCGACCTCCAGCTGACTCACAGAATAGATGTCTCTCTCCCTACTGGCTACAGATCAAAGACCCAGATAACCCTGGGCTTGACGCAAATCAAAGAAGGGTTTTCTTTCCACATCCTCTGGTGGGCCTGGAGAAAACAGGCATAATAATCCGGGTAGGGGAACTCTGAAAAGCAAAACCCAACACCTACTGGGAATGATTACTGTATGTCGTATTTGCTCCTTTGAGGTTGGTAATGAATGTTCACTATAATTTAAAAAGTGACAGAAGACAGTTCATATCACAGTTTCTGTTAGAGGAGTCGCTTTCCCCATTCCTCATCTTTCCATAAACAGGGCTCTACTTCTACCCCACCTGCCAAGAGGGAATGGCAGTGGAGGACAGGTCCTGGGGTGAAAGTGCTTCTCATGGCTTCCCCAGGGGAAGAGGAGCACGGATCCTCGTGGTGAGAGTCAGAACTGGCCATTCACCAGTTGGTCCCTATTTCTCAGGGGGGACATGTTAAGACTGAAGATTATAGTCACTTGTGCTCTTTCGGGCCCTCTGAGCTGACTGGGATGTGGGGGAGGGCCGAATTTCCCACATGACAGTGTAGCAGGGATTGGAGGAAAAGGCTCTCAGACATACCCAACTCTGGTCCTGCACGCAGGGAATGCGGCTCTGGTGCACGCTCTGTGACGGAGTGTTGGAGCTGAGGAGGGAAGCCCCATAAAAAGACCCACAGAGCCCCCAAGCAGGGTCACTACTCTCCTGCCAGCACCATCCCCTTCCCTGGCCCAGAGGCTCTGTCTCACTTTTTGCCTCTGAAATGGCTTACTTACTCCTAAAATTCTATTGGTTCCCTGAGCTCACTTCTGATTGGTTATTTCCTTCACTCCTGAAGGTTATTACTCTCACTTCTGATTGGTCCACTTTCCTAACTTCTGATTGGTCCTTTTGTAGTACTTCATTTGCATGGAGCTCACTCCTGATTGGTTATTTCTCTCACTCCTGATTGGTCCATTCCCCTCACTCCTGATTGGTTATTTCTCTCATTCCTGATTGGTCTGTTTCTACAAAGCTTGATCCTAGTTGGTCCTCTTCTGTTCTACTTTATTTGCATATGATATTGCAAAGTGTAAAACTGGCAACCTATAAAGGCCTGTGTAAACCTACCAACGGGGTCCAGAGCTTGGAGTGTTAACTCCTCTGGGTCTGCTGGCGAAATAAACCTGAGTTCTCCAACTCTTCTCTCGCCCAGATCCAGGTTGCTGTCACAACTGAGCTGTAATGCCAACAGAGCAACATTTTAGCTACTGTCTCCATCTTTTCTTTTTAAAGGGAACAACTGATCCTATTGATAATGTGAAAAAAATGGAAGCTGAAAGTACACAGGTCAGCCCTCTTTTGATGAACCCCTTTTCAGAATTACCTATTCAAAACACACATTTTTCCCTCTTCCAGGGCCTCAGCTCACAGGACTGTCTCTGCACCACTTGGTGTTGGGCAGGGAAGCTCAGCTCAGGGGGAAAGACCTCAGATCCAAATACTGATCAAACGCTGCCATTATTAAAACTAATTTTTTTGCTCCTTGTCCTGTGCCTTTGGTTATTTTCCTCAAGTTTCTCAGAATTCTGAGGGACTACATACATTGACAGCTCTTTTGAAGTAGAAACATCTGAAGCAAAGTGAAAAAGGACAACCATAGGTTTGTTTTTTATGTCTGTGAGTCTCTGTTTTGTAAATAAGTTCATTTGTGTCTTGTCTTTTTTTAAGATTCCACATGTGAGTGATTACGGGGTGGAGGGTGCAGAATTGGGAATTCGAGATTTGCAGATACTAACTTCTATATATAAAATAGATAAACAAGTCCATACTATATAGTACAGGGAACTATATTCAATATAGTAGTAACCTATAATGAAAAGGAATATATGTATGTGTGACTGAAACATTATGCTGTGTGCCAGAAATTGACACAACATTGTAAACTGACTATACTTCAATTAAAAAAAAAAAAGGCAGGACAATTAGGGTGAGTCTACCACTACTTGAATCTCAGCTCTGACACTACCATGGCTCTGACCTCTGTTAAACCAGTTATTCTCCTTGATCAATAAAATTGAGGATAATACCTGAGACCTTACCTCTCAGTGTGAAATGAAGACTCATTCATGGAAATGTATAAAATGCATTTAATAAATCGAAAAGCTAATGGTCTAGAACATTTACCTCGTGCTGTAAACATTTATAAGTGTTTTATGTGTAATAACTCAGGTAATCCTCACAACTCTGTAAAGTAGGTTCTGTGTTTTGTTCTTGTTTTACACATGAGGACATGGAAGCCCAGAGAAGGTTAATAGCTTGCCTAAGGTCATAAGAGACAGAGTTTGTATTCTAATGCAAATAGTCTGGCTCCAAGCCTTCAGTGCCTAATTCTCATGCTATACTCTCTAATTAATGACAAATGAATCTAGTTTTTTTAAAAATCATTTTTCCTATTAAAATGAGAGAATGAATGCTTGAAGTTAGATACAGGTATGAGCAGTAGAGGAGTCTCAAAAACACCACCACGTGATAGACATGAGGGAGAATCTCTGATGACTAACTTTGTCATGTGCTTCCCACTGTCCCTTTCATCATCATTTTTATTGTTGTTTTTACCTAAGGCATGATCAGGACAAAAGTACTTATGAGTTGTAATTTAGGAAGGATGTTTGGATCATACAATCTGGTATACTTGAGAGGAAGGGATTTTAAAGACCGTTTAAGAGAAAATTAAGGCCCCCAGCAGGTGAAGGAACATAGCAAAGCACGTAAGCCCAGAGCTTAGTAAAGTCAGGGCTACAATCTGGGGTTACAGCAAATGCAACTTAAAAAATGAATATTATAACTCAAATTAAAAGTAAAACTACATACCTTGAGGACATCCTGTGTGTGTGTGTGTGTGTGTGTGTGTGTGAACAAAAGAGCAAAAGACTTGTGGATTCTTAAATTTTGTGTGTTGTGGATCTAAATGTATAACCTGTGACACTGGATTTTTCCACTGTGATAATGTTTTAGCATTACTTGCTGGTATTCATTTGATAATAGTTCCAGATGCCTAATCTCCAGTTCTGAGACTGTGGACAACTGAGATATTATTGCTCTATATCATCAAGCACATCTCCCCTAAGTAAGATAAGCTTTTGTACAAGGTGAAGACTGTTCAGTAGTACAGGCATAGCTCATTTCTGTGCTTCGCAGATACTGTGTTTTCCACAAATTGAAATTTTGTGGCATCACAAAGACACTGCATCACAAAGTCTGTCAGCACCATTTTTCCAACAGCATCTTCTCACTGTGTCTCTGTGTCACATGTTGTCATTCTCACAATGTTTCAAAGTTTTTCACTATTATGTTTGCTATGGTGATCTGTGATCAGTGATCTTTGATGTTACTGTTGCAAAAAGATTTTGACTCGCTGAAGGCTCAGAGATGTTTAGAATTTTTTAGCAATAAAGTGTTTTAAAAATTAAGGTCAGTACATGTTTTTAGAAATAATGCTAGTGCTTACTTAATAGACTACAGTTTAGTGTAAATATAACTTTTATATGCACTGGAACACCAAAAAAATGTGTGACTCACTTTATTGCTGTATTTACTTTATTGCAATGGTCTGGAACTGACCCCACAACATCTCCAAGATATACCTGTACTAAATGATTTATAGGATGATATGGATTTGTATTCAAGGTTCTTATTCTTAACCCTAATGTCCACCTCTTAACTTCTAATAGCTATAAAGTCTTATCCTAAGAGGTATTTCAAGGCAATTCCTCTGGCATAAGAACTGAGTCAGTGAATTACAAAAGAACTGACCACCCTTATCATATGGTGACCCAGTTATTATTCCTCAAGGACACATATCGCCCCAGCAGTAACTGGCGGTACCAAGATCTTAATGCAGGTCTTTTTGACCGCAGGGACCATGTTCTCTCCATGACGTTATGAAGGATTCCAGCACCAGTTTTTCCAATAGTTCGTCATGTGGCTCTGGGCATACTCAACAGTTCAGTATATCACAGTCAAGATTCTTTTGGTTGCAATTTACAGACATGGACTCAAACTTGCTCAAGCACAAGTGAGCTCATTATTGAGTTCACAGGGATAGTGCATGTAATCCAAGGACAGGAAGCACAGTTTAGCAGAGACAGGAGCGGAAACTGGAACACCTTTGGGAACAAGGCAGCTTCTCCTTAGTCTGCAAGTCTCAGTGTTCTATCTGTGCCAGATTCATTCTCTTGCTAAACTGCCAGAGGCCTATCTCTGTTAGTGTCAGGAACCCATCTCTGCTGGTGGGGGCCAATTTTCAGGGGACGGCATTATGAGTGGTGTCTGAATAGGTGTAAACCATAGCATGTCTACATTTCCTTATTTGGCAAATGGGAAGACTGGATTAGATAAAATAATAATTGATAGTAACAAAGTCCTTAGTCTGCTTCAGGCGCTTGGCAATATGATTGATATGGACAGGACATGGTAACAAAGACAGATGAAATGAAATGATTGCCAAAATAGTGATACAAGCATCTAGAAAAAATATCTCCAAGTAGGAGATGTGGAGTTTTAACATGAAATGCTAAAAGAGAGAGAGAGAGTAAGAAAATATGAAATAATTCAAGTTGAGTTTCTCAAGTTTGGGAGACAGGACTTTTTCCCTTATGGGTATATTTCAATATTGTTCCACGATGTTAATTATCTTTCATGCTATGTTGTCGGTAGGTTATGATGCTTCATTCATGATACCATGTGAAAACGTTCCACTCTGTGCCTAAGCTTTATTATCTTTTTTCAAATGCAGCAGTACTTCAACTTTTTCAAGTTTTGAAAATGCAGTCTTTCCCAATGAGAAGTAGAAGAGAATAGGGGAGGTGTTCAATTAAGCAACTTTATTTCCATACTGTATAGTGAAAAGCTCTCCATTACTGGAGGAAAGTGATACAAAGCCAGCAAAGCTTACACGTCAGTAGTGAAGCGTCTTTCACAGTTTCACTGCAATACGCCCCTTTAGTAACTGGACTAAAGAACCAAATGTCATTTTGCATGTAATAACTATAGTAAAAAGAATTTTTTCTCATCATCTAAGGATGAAAATTATTACCATTATAGGAAGGCAACAGTCATTAAATAAATTAAAAGCATCTTTAAAGTTTTTCCATATACATATATAATATATATTTTTTAAATTGCCATTGACTGTACAAGCATTCAGTTCTCAACTAAAACATTTACAGAAATGAAGGTGGAAAGCTGAAGGGAAGGCTTGGTTTTTTTAGGAAAAGGGGATCATTTAAGCACCTACAGACTACATTAAAATACAACTCTCAAGGGAAAAATGATACACAGAGAAGTCAGACTTACCCACGACACCTTGTTTAATCTCATATTTCATCTTAACACATCAAGTGTGCAAAGCTATTTTCTAACCTAACCTTGATTCAACCAAGTCAATATCCAGACATTACTTATGTGTTAGCATGGAGAAAGACTAAACTGAATAATGTAATTATATAGAAATTATTCTAATATTCTATAATATTATACACATATGATTGTCTATGAAAATAATAAATGGGCAAAAAGGTTTTTGAGAAGTATTAAGGTAAAAAATCTTACATTAATGAATAAATGACCATCAGTTAGTACATAGCTAGGTGAGTGTAAAATGTGATCTGGGATATTGTCGTCCTGAGATCTGGGGAGTCCGCTTTTCTAGTTGAAATTTTACAACCTCAAATCCTATAAATTGTATATTATTTATACAAGTTCCAACAAAATACTTTGAAAATACTATATTGACATCAGCAGCCCCTGAATTTGAATTCAAGAGTTACTGAAAAAAAATCCATTTTCTAAGTGACTTAATTCTGTGTGTGTATGTGAGTGTGTGTGTGTGTGTGTGAGAGAGAGAGTATGTGTGTGTAACATGTAGGAATGGGGGTGGGAAGGTGGTTGGAAAAGGGGAAGAGAAAGAGGCATGACTTAAGAAGTAGCATTATAAATATAATGTCTTTTCTCACTAATGCTGCTTTAATATTAGGAGATTTATAAAAAGTTTACGTAGTAATTATAGACACTAGTACCCAACAAACTGCAAAATAGTCACTCAATTTTCCAACTGTTTCATGTACATTTTTATTAATTAAAATATTACCTCATTTACTTCAACCCTTAATACTGAAAAATAATCTTCCTTTATTTTTTGGGACTGAACTTTATACCTTAATATGTACCCAATGAAGTAGCAAAATGATGGTTACAAGGTCACTGACAAGTAACTACTGGTCAAAAAGTATTCGGATGGCTAAGAGACTATCTAAGCTCTTTCACTGTGTTAGAATTTTGTCATATCAATTGCTACTGAAGATGAAATCTTAACTAGTTAAAAAATTGGAAATTTTTATTATTCAAAGTTTTTTTTTGTTTGTTTTTTTGGCTGCTGTAGGAATTAATCTGTAACAAGCAGGCATCAATTCAAATTAAGAAAGGTAACAAACAGACATCTGGATAGAAGAAGGCTGAGAAGAAATACTGGGAAGTACTAGAGGTTTTGGCTGATATCTCTCTAAAAAAAACTAAATAAAGAATTTCACGCAATTTACCAAATGGAAAAAAAGTTTTCTTCACTGAAAGGTGCTATGACCAGGATAGGGCAGCCATACACTGGCTCACTTCTATGACATAATTTTGCTTTCAGATTTTTGATAAAATATATTAAAAATAATTTCACCCCTTATCTCATTTTGAATCTTTAACTTTATGCTACCAGAACAACAACAACAAAAAATGAACTATAAGAAACCATAGTAACTCAGGCACCAGAACTTAATTCATTACTTAGAATAGGTGTGTCTCATTCATGGAGTCAACACACACTTTGACCCAAAGTGTTAAAGAACTTTTTTTGCATGATCTTCTTTTAATGAGTTTCCAATAAGCTAGTGCTACTACTTAAACCACAGAGAGTGCCACACTCACTCAGAAACACTGACGAGTAGGATGGTTTCACCTTTGGTTTATGGACAGCGATGCTTACAGTGTTCTTACCCTACTGCTATCGTCTGTCCAAGAAGAGGTGTGTGACCTAGCCAGTATGCTAAACCCAAACTTTGGGTGGCAGAAGGACCTTTCTTCCAGGTCAACGAGTCAGCCTCTTCATTTTACCCGTGAGGACACTAAAAACACACAATTAACATGTGTCTTTTACAAAATAGATGCTCAATTAGTATTTCTTAAATGACAACCCACCACTGATCACTAAAGGCAGAAACAGAACAAAGCCCCGTGTCTTCTGCTACTTCGCGGCCTCTGCAACGGCTCAGTTGTCTGTAGTCTGGCCAGACTGAGCTGAGAAAAGGATGAACTGTAGACAGAACACCAGCAACCCAGGGGCTGAAAAAGTCTCGGTCACACACACAAATACAATGAGCGAAAGATTTTTGGAACAATTTTTCAAGGGCAGCAGTGTAAGAGGAGATATTTATGACAAATGGAAATGGGAAAAAAAACCAAAGAAGTATCTATGTTTTAATCTCTTTCTTGGTGGGTAATTTCAGTGAGCTTTGCTGAAGTGTAGATTTCATGGCTGAGCCAAAAGCCTTGATCCGTGTGAAAAAGTGCCTGGACTTGTGATACTGAACAAGTGATTGTGATTAATCTCTAATCATCCATCCATTTCTGAGCCTTGGAATCTGATGATTACTTTATAGCAAGTAAAGGCACATTAAGAAAATTAAAAGTTTAATTGAATTTTTGAGTTCAGTTTAAAAGAACAAATGAAAGTAGTTGTGGAATAGAGGCACAGAAGAGGAAGCACATCTGGGTTTTCGAAAGTTGGGTTGCTGCTTCCCTTTCCTGGGAGGCCATGAAATGAAAACCTTGGTATTTCCCAATAAATGGCTGGGCCAAGTGGTAACTCTCTGCATATGCGCTTGGATCACTCTAGCCTTTTTGGTTAAGTTCTCATAATTGAATGGTGCTTGCCAGAACATGAAATGAAAAAAAAAACAAACAAAGAATCCTGTGCAGATTGAATAAAAAACCATGTTAAGCAAGCCTTCCTACAGAGGGCACAGGCCCCTGCGACGTCTCCCATGTGTATATACCAACACTCAGCACACACTCTCCACTCAGCGCTTCCCACCACGATCCACAGAGAAAAACACAGGCAAACAAGAGTCTCAACACATTTGAAGATAAACATCAAAGTGGATTGGATTATTTAGCACTTGCTGAGCTGCTCAGGAATCTAAGGCAATAAGCCTACTTTAAAATATGAAATTATTCTATTCTCTATAAGCAGAGATAAATGATAAGCTATTGGTCTTTTTTTCCAATCTATTTTCAAAGCCCATTACAAAAATAAATCAGTGTGTTCTCCAACAGTTCTAACAACAGTTTGAGTGATTATTTTTCTTGTGTGATTAAAAAAAAAGAGAAACAGATGTCCATATTTACTAAAATCTTCCTTTTAGCTACATTCAGAAACAAATACAGTCCAGTTCTCCTTGGTGGAAATGATCAGAATATTTTTTGCTCATTCTCTTCTGACTATTAAAATTTTTTTTGACATGAAATGCATTGGCAGTGCAAAAAAAAAAGTCCATAAAAATAAACTAATGATTGAATTAAGCATTCACATGAGTTCTTTGCCAGGTTATCTGCAAGCACAAGACTCTACTGTCATGTTTGGATATACTTTAAGTACCACATTCTTATTTTCATCAAAGAATAAGATGCTGAGCGAGGACATCTTTTCCGGCACACAACAGGGCTCAGGAATTCCAGGGACGACCCCCACTGCTCTCACTATACTCTGGATCGTAGCATGATTTGATGGCTTCAAAGACTAGGAAAAGAAAAGGGAGAACATACATTAGGTAGAATTGTATCCCCTCATCACTAAAATGTACATATCATGAACTTTATTTCAACAACTTAAGCCCTGGCACGTTACACATTCAGCCCAATCTCCATATCACTATCACCAAAAGAGTTGTCATTTACTAAGTGTCTGCTATGTGCCAGGCGTGTTATATGTAGTCTTTCTAATCCTTATAACAAAACTACCATTTCTTACATTTTACAGGCAGAGAAACAGACTCAAAATGCTTAAACGACATATCTAAAGTCAGGTAGACACATAGAGTGAGGATTTAAATCCAGTTTTCTAAGCAAGAATCATTTAATTAAAAGTGACTTAAAGTCCAAACAGGGGATTAATACATCCTAGGATGTTTTCAATAACAAGATTGCAGCAGAAACAATTTGTTCTTGATCCTATGCTAATCGTAAAGAACCCTTAACAAGCGCCTATTTAACATAGATATTTTTGCCACTGCCATAGTGATATTTATACCTTGTTTAAAAAAGAAACACCAAGCGTGTCAAGAAGTATTGATTTATGTAATGTCTAGCAACAGGATGAATTGATGGTGATTATTGTAACATGTAATTACAGTATTCAAGTCTCAGGAGCACAAACTTGGGGTTAAGAAGACTCCATTGGCCACTGGGGGTCACTGTTGCTCCATGGGTTCAGACAAAGGCTGACGCGCAGTCTTGTAAGCCTGGGGCATATCCTCTGGGAATAATCTGGGGGGGCCTGAGGTTATCCCATGAATGTCAGAAGTTTGACCAAAGAAGCCTGGGTAAAATCTGTTCCCGAGAAATGCCAAATGGGACCATTAACATCCATGGGAGACATGTGGTTTTATTTAGAGCATCATCCGGCTCTGCTCAGCATGGAAGACCGGTCACTTTTCTAAGCCCAGAATGTTTCGGTATTGCCAGAGGGGTAAGAACCTCTTCCTGAGAGATGCCACACTTTTCAACATTAGTTCTCCCACTGTCTCTGTGAGGCAGATGAAAACAGTTTTGTTTCAAAAGAATGTAGAAGCAGGAATTTGGTACCTGGCCAGAGATCACATGTCAATTCAGGAGTGGGATTTAGGCCAAAACTCTGGCTTATTTAATTTCACGACTTCGAGCCATGTTTCAGAGGCACCTCTGCCCCCAGTGAACTGGTATTTCAATTTTATACACCTAAAACACCCAAAATGGGAAACTGGAACCAGTTAAAAGGTTAAGAGTACATACGAGCCAAGGGAGAAGCAAATAATCTACAAAGAGAGCATACTGTAAAACAATAATAATAATAATAATAATAATAATAGTCTTTTTGGCAGAGAAAGGTCAAATCTGACTTATCTCATCCCATCTTTCCCTTCTAGTGAACAAAAAAATTATTCATACCTTAGACTTCAACATGATTGCTAACAGGCATAAGTTAGTTAAACATTTGCCTTGATGATGGCCAGCTCCTTTATTTACTCTCTCTTCCTAGAGACTTTAAGTGTATGTTAAAAAGAATAGTTAACTTTTAATCAATTAGCTTTGCAAAGCAAGGTATTCTCTCCCCTGAAGGATAGGAAGTCTATGTTGTTCTATTTTGCGTATCGAGTGCCCCGTGGCATCAACACCACCTGTGTAACTAACACAACCTGCAATCTCCAGAGTGCAAGAGCGGCCAGTTGCCACTGTCTGATGACATACACCAGTGCTGGTAATATCTGAAGAGAACGTTTGCAGCCACTTTTCTTCTACTGATTTATTCTTAAGATTCAATCATCCAAGCAGCATGCAATAATGCCCCAAAGGATATTTTTAAACCATAGATTTTTCTGACATTATTCTGTTACTATTAAAATTTTACTCATTCCTATACTATTTAATTTTCGTAAAAAAGTAGATCTATTTAAGCAGATGAGGACTTGATCCATAAATCCTGCTGTGCGTTACCAGTCCTCAGTGCCTAGAGCAACGCAGACTCTCTATGCACTGAATAAATACTTGCCAAATGGACGCAATACCTATAAAAAAAAATAGCATACCCTCCATTTTACCTGTTTCTGTGGAAATAATTCCCATCAACAAAAATAAAAGTGTCTGAACAAATGACCTGGCGTAGATATGGAAAATATTCATGGGTGTTTCCTAGGAAAATTCCTGTCCTTTTTTTTTTTTTTTTAAGCTCTAACTCACAAATCATAGATTCAGGAACTATGAGCAGTCTCTCTGGTGGGCTCCCTGGAATCCAGGCACAAGCCCTTGATTCTGGACTGGTGGGTCTTATCAGGAACCTCTCAATTTTCTAGGGAGCTTCCCCCCCTTTTTTTCCACTGTGGAATCCTCTGATCAAGCTGCCGTGACCCAGAATAGTTATGTCATGCACAAAAGCTCCACGCAGTCATTAGCTAGTCTAATGTTTTGTGTGTTTTTGAGTTCAGTTCACACTTCTCAGGACTCTCTTTACATAGCTTAAGAAACCTAAAGATGACAAATGCAAACCTGTGTTATTTCCTTCCCCAGTTTGTCTTTTCAAAGATGGTGAAACATGATGCTGACATCCATTTAGGTTCTTTTTTTGCTTAGTTAACTCAGCATATCAAGTGTAGGATTTTCTGAGTTCATCTTCATGACTAAAGATTGGAATTGAAAACCTCAGCAAATGAATTGAGGGTGTCTTATTTTGAACTCATTTGTGGATTTCTTCTTTATATAGGACACTTCATTCAAAGTGTTTATCCTCTTTGCCTCCTACTTCTGTGTCTTTGCTATTCCCAGCCTTTGCACCATTCCATGCAAAAATAACTTCATTCCTCTAATCCTTGTTGGTTCCCTTGGACCTCTGTCAACAACAATGGTTCAGTCATTTTCATCTGAAATCTCTGTTTTCCGATGTTCCATATTACTCATTATCAGAGAAATGCAAGTCAAAACTGCAATGAAGTATCACCTCACACCAATCAGAATGGCTACCATTCAAAAGTCCATAAATGATAAATGCTGGAAAGGGTGTGGAGAAAAGGGAACCCTCCTACACCGTTGGTGGGAACTTAGTTTGGTGCAGCCACTATGAAAGACAGTATGGAGATTTCTCAAAAAACTAAAAATAGATTTACCATGTGACACAGCAGTCCCACTCCTGGGCATATATCCAGAGAGAACTCTAATTTGAAAATATACATGAACCCCAGTGTTCATTGCAGCACTACATACAATAGCCAAGACAAAGAAGCAATCTAAATTCCCATCGACAGATGACTGGATAAAGAAGATGTGGTATATTTATGCAATGGAATACTACTCAGTCATAGAAAAGAATAAAATAATGCCATTTGCAGCAACGTGGATGGACCTGGAGATCGTCATTTTAAGTGAAATAAGCCAGAAAAAGAAAGAAAAATACCATATGATATCACTCATAAGTGGAATCTTAAAAAAGGAAAAAGAACACACTGATGAACTTGTCTGCAAAACAGAAACAGACATAGCGAACATAGTAAACAAACTTATGACTACCAAAAGGGGAAGAGAGTATGGAAGGATAAACTGGGAGTTCGAGATCTGCAGACACTAACTACTATATATAAAATAAATAAACAACAAGCTTATACTTTATAGCACAGGGAACTATATTCAATATCTTGTAGCAACCTATAATGAAAAAGAATATGAAAAGGAATATAGGTATGTATATGTATGATGGAAACATTATGCTGTACACCAGAAATTGACACATTGTAGTCTGACCATACTTCAATAAAAAAATAAAATAAAATAAATGAAATCTCTGTTTTCCATCTCTGTTACAGTGGTGAGGGGAGGCAAAGGCTTGGCTAAAGCTGTGTGGGTATTTTTCATCTCATGGCAGAATTCCAGGGGTCTCTCCTGGGGAGGACAGATTGGCTATATGGGCTTGAAATCAGAAAAATCCAAGCTGCCGTGTCGGTGAATGAAACCTGCAGCGGTCAGGCGCACACCTGCCAAGCTGTGGATGATGTCCTCGCATTGGATTTGGTTACAAATGCATTAGCAGCGGAGAGTATGTCATCAGCTCAGAGCCTTCATTCCTAACTCGGGCCACTCGGGGTTTTGCTCCACGCTCTTCCAGTCCAGCCCACATGGGTGTGATAGCCCAGAAACTATCTAATTGGAATCAGTGAAAGGGCAAAGCCTGGAATTTGGGAAAGGCAGAACACAGCTGTTCTGAATTACAGACAGGTTGTCGACTTTTGCAGACGAAGAGCCCAGCTCTGGAGAGTAGGCTGTCACTCAGGAGGCCAGAAGGAAGGAGGCCCAGCAGAGGATCTGGCCCGGGAGAACATTTCTCTGGGGCAAAATGTATATCTACTGTCTGAATGTTCTTTGGCGCCTCACTGATTCCACATGTGTTTGTATTGATCTGGTCAGAGACCTTTTTTCCCTCTGTTGCTCAGACTATATTTTTATTTAAGTAGTTTACTCTGGTTACCATGTTGGACTCTGTGCTGATAACAGCGGTGCTTATTAATTACCCCTAATGTCACAGCTTCCATCCTGTGGGTGACTGTACACTTGAAAGACACCGTGCCTGGAAGGCTTCAAGGGAACCACTGGAAAGCTGTAAAAATTAAGCAGATCCACACAAGGTGATGAGAGACTGGGAACTCCATGTCACAGCCAAACTTCCACTCTCAACTTGGCAAAGGAAATCTCAAACTCAGAGAGAAAACTCCACACTCATCCGTGTTATGTCTCCCTGGAGTTCTGATGCCATTCCAAGTTCTGACAAATATTATCATGAGCTCGGTTGCTGTAACCGATGCTCTTCTAATTCTGTTACTTTCCAAAGAACTTACGGACTGCGGGACCCAAAGGGAGAATCCTATTTTAGGCTTCATGATATTTAAAGAGGGATAAGAAACATTTACAAAACATTTTCTTGTCTTACATCTTTTATCCTCTTGATCCCTTTTCTTGTGTGGTCTTTCTTCAGCCCCCTACATTCGATTTTCTGTTCTCCTCAGTCTCAGCAATGGCCATTAGGAATTATGTCGACGGCAAAAATTTACTGAGTGCCTACTAAGCGTAAGGTGCTTCACGGTCTCATTTTCCCACCATTTTTTATTAGGTAGTTACTATTATATTTCTGTTTACTGTTTGTACCTGTTTCAGAGATGAGGAAAGTAACATATAGAAAGCTTGAGTAACTTCCCCCTAAAAGCAATCGCTGGTTAGAGGTGGATGGAAGTTTTAAGCCAAAAGGATTTGAATTTGTGGACAAGCAGCACCAGCAACGTCTAGGAGCCTGTGAGATGCTCAGGGTCTTAGGCTCTACCCCCAGCGCCCCTGGATCAGAATCTGTGGATAAACAAGATCCCCAGGCAAATTGCAGGCACATTAAGGTTAAGAAGCCCAGATGTAATCAAAGTATTTAATCATTCTGTTACATGAACACTTCTCTCCTTAAACGTATCTCTTCTGTTCTTAACTTACCGCTCACAAGTTTTTAAATCATTATTCTTTAGGTCAGTGAGAACCACAGTGAAGATAACTGAAGCAACAGCGAGGCTTTGAAACAGTGAACGAAAGCAAAGCCAACAGGGGGTGGGAGAGGCAAGCTGGGAGAGCCGTGGGGACCAGGCTAGGTCTCCGTCTCCCGAGGGGAAGGTGGAAAAGCTAACCGGCTTGAGTATCTCCACGTTATCATGGCTCCCTGGGCCCTAAACTCTGGAGTCAAGAGGGAAGAGAAAAGTGTCTTCCCCAGGCTACCTAGAAGAAATCAGTTTGTGAGAGTGAGAGGAATGATTTGGAAGACTCCGAGACTCATTTAAAATCAGTCACCCCAGGTTTAGATTTTTAATCTGTTTTTAACCCGTTTTTAATCTGTTTCTACTTCTCAATGCCACAAAGCAAGCCACACTGTAAAGATTCATCATCGCCTGTTATTCTGGGCATCTTGGCTGTGTGTTTTAAATTCTATCCCAGTTTGAGCAAGTTTTGATTGATCAGTAAAATTCCTTTATGAATATTTAGACAAGGTAAGGCTGTTTATGTCACTGTAAATGTATATAATCCTTACTTTGTGTTTGGATTCACAAAACATGGAATCCACAAGGTCGAGAAAATTTAGAATGCGTGTCCTTCTGAGACATTCTGAGTGTCGAAATGGGATTTCAATCAAGTTCCTGACCTGAGGCCGACCTGGCCTTGTTTAGTTGGCCCTTTGCTTTACGTGTGTGTTACATGAAGCATCCCAGTGGCCACAAGACTGCAACATGAACATGCTACTTTAAAGATCTATCAGCGGAAGTCGGTCACTTTTTGAGGCAAAGGGATTTTTTCTCAATTAACATACCACAGCCAGAGTTGATTCACTTCAAGCTTTGCAAAAAAAAAAAAAAAAAAGAAAAGAAAACAAAACAAAAAACCCCACTATTCTTCCTCTGAATTTTATTCCTAGCACCCCTTTTCATTGTATAACAGAGATTCAAATTGTTACAAGCTAAGAATGGAAGTGCAGCAACAAACTTAACTGAAGACCAGAGGGCTTAAAGTAAATATATTATTTACTTTAAATCCAAAGATACCAGTCACTTGGACTTGCTATGCAAGATGGAGGTTGAGCTGTGGAGGTTTCTGAGGATATATTTTGTCAGGATCCTGAGTTCTGATATGATAAGGTTCAGTCCCTATTGATTCTGGAAGAGACACTGGTAAGCTCTGAGAGGTTGAAATAAGTCTTAGAAGTCTACAGAGTCATTGTATCCTATTATGACTTCTTTTTCTGCTATTTTCAGGGAAGCAAATGAAATAAGCATCTGGTGGATTTCCTGAGGCAAGCTTACCTGGCCTAATCTGGATTCTGACTCCCATGGTGACAATTCATCTCACAAGAGACTACTAAAATGTTCTGCATCATGGTATCAATCCAATTAGTCCTTCCCTTTGCTCTCATGACATTCACTCATTCCCTGAGTACCCCTCAAAGATCAGCCTTCTACCATTTGGGGCTTGCTTGTTGTGGACAGGTGTTAATTCGCATGCGACCATGTAGCTAAATATGCACAGTGTTTGGAAGCAAAGAGAAAAATATGTTTTACACACACATTTTTTCCTCATATCCTTCTTCATACCAATATTGACTTCATATTACTCTAACAACCATTAAAGAAAAGCCAAGCATAACCATGTAACCAATTACACTTTAGAATGCAATAAATAAAGGTCCACGTGGACTCTGTAAATGAAAACACACACTCAACTCGTGTCTTTCTACCCTATGGAAAGAGGAAGCACAGGACAAAGAACCACGACTACCTTCGGCATGGGGAACTGGCACGCGCCGGAGCAGTAATAGGCATCGAAGGACTTGGGGGAGATAATCCACTCACTCCAGCCAATATCCGCAAAGTCCACTTTCAGGTATCGCCTGGCGCAGTTGCGAGGTTCAATCCATTGCTTTCTTCTTGCCTTCTTCAGGGTCTGTTCATCAAACTGGAGCGTCTGGCTCTTCTGGTGAGGTCCCTTTCTCTGTTTCTTTTTGTTCTTGCTCTTCTCAGGGGGCTGAGTCTGAAGAGTCTGGTAAGGTTTTCTCTCCTCCCATACCCCGTCCTCCTTATACTGGTACTCTGCCCCAGGAAGCTCGTTGTTCTGCAGAGGCAGCAGGACCCCAGCAGAGCGCTTCTTCCTTCGTTCAATAGAAAGCGCAGCCCTGATACGGCTATCCAGTTTGGGCACAGCTCCAGTGGGGAAATTCCGATGTCCTTGCAAGCTTGACACCACGCTCTCTGGCTCAGAAATGGCAGCATCATTGGCATACACCAAGATATAAGGCTCAGGAAAGGGCATCATCTTCTTTGGCAGCTGTTGTCCTTTGGAAGTAATGTTAAATCCTATGAGAAACTCCTCATTTTCCTTGGCCTTCCTCAAAACTTGAGTGATGTCTTTAGACAGCCAGGACACAAAGTCTCGATGAGGTTTGGTTACATCCACTGAAAGATGACCCAGGAGTTGACTTTGGTTTCTGTTGGATTTGAGGACCCATGCAGAGAGGTCAATCTGAATGTGCTTCCTCTGAGCATGATGTGAGCATCCTTGGGACACTGGACAACTCAGGCTGATATTTATTAGCTCTCCGATATAGAAATGCAGTGTGGCAGATAAAATGTTTTCAGACTTGGTTAGAGAAGTCAAGTTAAAAATATGCAGTTCTGTGGTTTCAAGGATTCCTAGGAAGGAAAAAAAAAAAGAAAGTAAGCAGGAGTAAATAGGACCCCTGCTTCACATCATATACAAAATAAGCCAGTGATTTAAATTAAAAACCCTAAAATTCTTAGAAGAAAACTGGGAGGAAAATCTTCTTGGCTTTGGATTTGACAGTGGAGTCCTAAATATGACACCAAAAGTGTAATTAACAGAAGAAAATAACAGATAAATCAATAAAACAGATAAACTGGACTTCATCAAAATTATAAATTTTGTGCATCAGAAAACATTATCAAGAAAGTCTGTACAACTGACAGAATGGAGAAAATATTTTCAAATCATATATATGATAAAATCTAGTACCCAGAGGATAAAAATAACTCTTGCAACTCAACAACAACAGCAAAACAAACCAATAAAGAAAATGGGTAAATGAATCAAATAGACATGTATCCTAAGATGTACAAAGAGCCAACAGCCTCATGAAAAGATACTCAGCAGCATTAGTCATCAGGGAAGTGCAAATCAAAACCACAATGAGGTGCCATTTGACACACACTAGGCTGGCTATAATAATACAAAACAAAATAACAAGTGTTAGTGAGGTTGTGAAGAAATTGGAACATTTTTACATTATTGTTTGGCATGTAAAATGGTTCAGCTACTGTAGGAAACAGTTTGGTGGTTCCACAAAAAGTTAAACATAGTAACAACATGAGACGCCACAATTCAGCTCTTAGGTATAAACCCCAAAGAACTGAAAGTATTCAAACAAGTCCATGTACGTGTGTGTTTAAAGCAGCACTACTCTTCACAATAGCCAAAAGGTAGACACAACTCAAATGTCTATCAATGGATCAATGGTAAGGTGTAATACAGTCATATAATGGAATATTATCCAGCCATGCGAAGGAATGAAGTACTGATAGATACTACAATGTGGATGAACCTTGAAAACACTGTGTTAAATGAAAGAAGCCATACACAAAAGATCCCATGTTGTATGATCCCATTTATGTGAAATATTCAGAACAGGTAAATCGCTAGAAACAGGATGCAGACTAGTGTTGGCCAGGAGCTGAGGAGAGGGAGGGGTTTGGAGAAACCATTTGATGGGCAGGGGGTTTGACTTTGGGATGAGAGAAATATTTTGGAACTAGGTAGACTTGGTCATTACGCAACATCGTGAAGGTATCAAACGCCACTGAACTGCTCAATTAAAAATAACTATTTTTAAATTATGTGATTTTCACTGCAACCAAACAAAAAGATAACAGGAGTAATTTTATAAACCGGATAAATATCACAGCAAGGATCAGACATTTTTAGTCTTTTGCTCTTTCCTTTATACAGTAGTGAACTCAGTGGTGTGAGAGCTGAGAGCTCTGGCTTTTAAATCAGAGATTACCGAGAAATATTCCTATAAATTTGGCCCAGAGTCACAAGAGCATCTTATGTGAGGCAGAGCCCACTGGTTACCAGCATTGGTGAAAGGAGACTCACCTTGACTCAAAGACTGACTCGGTCACTTATTAACTATGTAACTTTGGGAGGAAAAGTTCCATTTTTCATTCACAAAGTGGAAGAGTGCCTTCTCCTGTCATCAGAATTAAATGAGATGTGTGTAAATCCATTCCTAAGTGTAAATCCATCCGGTAAGTGTTTCTTCAGGACAAATTATTATTATTGCTGTTAGTGCTGGTGTTGACCATAACACAGGGATTACACCTTCTTCTACCTGCTTCACAAAGTTAAGGGTGCAGGATGAGGGTAGATAAGCAAGACCATATGTCTCCGTGTTCAGAGAATATAGCTAAAAAAATGAGCCACGCTTTCAAAAGTGTCCTAAAGAATTAATGCTGTTGTGGAGCTTGTCTAAAGTTTATGACATTACATGGGTTTAACTTGAATTGCTTCTGTAGAGTTTGACCAAATGACTGAAACTGGCCAACTGTATTTCCAATTCTTCAAATGCAGAAATGAAGGTAACAGAAGAGGCGACTGATTAGTAAGGGCAGAAGTTGGTTCTTGCTCTTGAGATCATCGAATGAGCTAATGGTAAGGCTGAGGTTGGACTCAAGAATCCCCGGTCCTGGGATCGGTCACCAGAGCCTGAGCCCTCCTCCGTGCACTTGTTTCACATACATATTTGTTTCAGAAACATACACGCAATCGTGAAATTATGTTCTTGATCAAAACCATATTTCAGAAAAAAATAAAACATTTTAAAAAGATCTGGAAACTTATAATGAGTTCATTGAGTCCCCAAGTACAAGGGAAGTGCAGTGAGATACATATTTTACTCATTTCTAACACTGTGTGAAGGAAAAGGAGGAAACTGCCATTTGTGCACATTTGTGTAATCCATGACACCAGGATAATATTATACAGACCTCTATAACAAAGCCACGCATCAGGCTTGTTCAGAGACTCCAGCTTTAATTCATACCAGTCACCAGAGCATATACTTTTGCCCAGATGGAAGTTTAAAATGGAAGGAAGAGACGTCACTCTGTTCTAAGTATGTGGCAATCGGATGGTTGCCAAACGAACACGCTGGCCGGGAAGAAATGAACTCAGAGGGATGTGGGTGGTAGAGTCTTACCGGGGAAGCCAGTCCAGCTCCTTTTTCCCCCACATTTTGCTTGCAAATATTGCCTTCTTTCAAACATTTTCCCAGATACCTTGTGACCTGCTGTTAACTAGACTCCACTTTGTGTCTAACCTTCAATATCTTCTCATAAATATCTCAGAATCTGCCATACTGTCTCTTTGGGTGTTTTAATTTTAATTCAATGCCTTACTTTAAGTCAAAGCCCTGTGATCCAGGCTCAGCTCCACCACACCCAACAACTGTCCTCAGGCAAATTACCTAAACTCTTTAAGTCTCAGTTTGCTCATCTGTAAAATGAGCCCAATAGTATTAATGGCAGAATCGTTGTGAGAATTAATTGGAAGAATGTAGGTAATACATATCGCACATAAGAAAAATCTCAATGAATGTCAGCTAAGTTGAATGGTAATGTCCAATATGATAGCAACTAATCACTTAAGTTTGAATTGAGATGTGCTGTAAGTGTAAAATACACTGTATTTCAAAGACTCAGCACAGAATGAGTGTACAATATTAAATTAATATATTTTATATTAATTATGTATTGAAGTGATAATATTTAGATACACTGGGTTAAATATTGTGATAATGTGACTTTTAATGAAAAATATATATTTGGCCTTCATCCCTGTTTGTGGCACAGATCCTAAAACCCTTGGAATTGCCTAAGTGATGAGAGCCAGAAATGTCTTCTGTTATGTTGCTGAGGTGACTTTTGGAGGCCACCTAAGAGTGGGGGCTGGTTGCCAGGGGAAACAATCCTGTGACTAGAGCGTTGGCACTTTCAGCTCCACCCCCTAACCTCTGGTGTAGGGAAAGGCGCTGGAGGCTGAGTTAATCACCAATGGCCAATGACTTCATAAGCCATGCCTACATAATGCAGCCGCCATAAAAACTTACCAAAAAACAAGCTTTGAAGAGCTTCCGGGTTGGAGAACACGTGGAAATTGGGGAGAGCAGTGCACCCACAAAGGGCGTGGAAGCGTCAAGCCCTTCCCTCTACCTTGCCCTGTGCATCGCTTTTATCTGGCTGTTCCTGAGTTATATAGCCTTTTATACTAAACTGGTAAACTAGTGAGCAAATAGGTTGCCTGAGTTCTGTGAGCCACCCTAGTAAATTAATCAGATCCAGGGAGGGGGTTGCGGGAACCTCCAATCCTCAGCCAGTTGGTCAGAAGCACTGAAAACAACCTGGGTTTGGAATTGGCGCCTGAGGTGGAGGGCAGTCTTGTGGGACTGAGCCCTTTACCTATGGGATTTGATGTCTGGGTAGACAGTGTTAGAACTGAGGTGAATTCTCGGACACCCTGCTGGTAATACATTATTGAAATTAATTTCACATTTGGCTTTTCATATTTTTTAATGTGGTTACTAAAATTTTAAAATTACATATGTGGGTCACATCTGTGGCTCAAATTTAATTCTTCTTGGACAGTGGTGGTCTAGAATGACCACCAGTTTTGTGCTCATATAGTCTAAAAGGAAAGGAAAAAAGCATTTTTTTTCTAAATGCAGTGAAGAATTAGGAATTTCTTAAACATGCATATGCAAACCAAAAATAAATTGGGCAAAAGATTCTTTTTTGGAATGAAACATACCTTCCTTTACCAAGAACATATTAGATAAAGATAATTTTGGCAATTGCTTTTAAATTTTCCCTCCAGCTGTAGCTAATTGGTTCAATCTGCAATCAACAGTCTAAGACCAACTAACTGCTCTAACACAGAGTTAAATGGGCAGTTGAGTAATAGTGTTTTATGTGATTCTATATGTAGCTTCAGCTATGTTATTTGTGTATTACACACACACAGCCACTGCAAGCAACAATGAACAGGAGCTAAACAAAACAAATGTTTTTTGCAGTTGAACACCTATTAGGTGCTGGACCCTTGGCTGGGTCTTAGGGCTGCCTAGTGGCCACTGTTGTCCAGACTGGGGCTGGGGGAAAAGATTAAGAATTAATATGCAGGTAGTTATGCTGTGATGATGCTACTTACTGTCAAAGGTATTAATTATGTCCTTGGAGCACAGAGGAGGAAGCAGTTAACTTTCCCCAAGTAAGAGGAAGAGGAACACAGAGGGAAGATGTAACCTGTGAACCAGACTTTTAAGAATGAGGGGAAAAGGATGTGTTGGGTGTAGGCAGTGCTGACACCTGGGAGCTTTTGCATACGTAATATTGTCAATGTTTCAAACAGAAACTTATAAAAATATCCCAAATTAACTTAGTTATTTGAAGTCCTTATCGACATCGAACCTGTCTAACTTCAGAAAAGAAATGGCCAATTCACATTTAGCTCCTAACTAAAGGTGTTGTATCATGCCCAGCACAAGCGCTGTTTCCACCCAGGTGAGGGGACCCATGACCTCTGCCTGACCTACATCTCCCTCCTCCTTTCCTTTTTTAAA